AGTGCACACACGAAACGAAACGCACAGAGTTCACTTTCATTCTAGCAACGGACCAATTCCACTGGCGCTTCTCCACGGAGACTTGTCGCGTTCACGTCACAAAATCCTCCATCATAAGACACATCACCACGGTTTGAGCTGCACACATCGATAGGCAAACTTATATTGGGTGAGACAGCGTTGACTTCGACGAAGTTCGCTGTATACGTCCATTTTACCTTAGATCGAGGTTGCGAAATCAAATGAGGACACAAAACGAATGACGCTCCTCCCACGACGTGTGGGATATGCCAATTGGTTGCGGCCGCGGACCAACGCTAAGCCGTCCCCCGCTAAGAATCTTCCCTTTCCGTCGAGGTGCTAATTTTGAACACCGGGAGCCGGGTGTACCGCTCCGTTCGGCGCACGGGGCTTGTAGCCGGTTCTTTGAAGGCTCACAGCATCTTGAACTGAGCATCCCCAGTTTGGCCGCACTGTTTTAGGTCGTTGCCAGCCCGAAGGGCGGAAGATCAGTGAACTGTTTTTAATAGTGTGTGCGAGAAAGGATGCTCTAGCGGGGAGTCGCCGTCACGAAGACTCGTTGCCGCTAGGATATTATTCTCTTGGACGCCGAATATTCAGGTGGGCACTGATGGTCATGTTTTGCGCTTGTCCGCAGTGTTCCGGTTCTATTCAAGCTGACCGTGAGCCATAGCATCCGTTAAGAGGCAAACTCGAAATGCTGACGACGTGACGAAATGTCGAGCCGCTAAAACATACGCGTAGTCTTGCGTGTATCGCAGCAATCTCTGGCATTCCTCTAAAGACATGCAGACGGTTCGCAGGATTCAAGATGTCTGCCGCTGCCATATGCACGCCCTTCTGTTGTGTTTTGGATTTTGTGAACTTGTAGAGGGCGTTGTTCTCGTGTTCGTGTAGACGTACTGAAAATCACCGCACTGTTTATCGCATACAACATTGTGGAACGTGTTCTGCGCACTAATTGTCTTCATGCAGATGCGCCGACCTCATGTTTTCAAGGATCGCGTGGACGCGGCTACCGGCTGATGTTACCCAATCTTGACGAGCTGTTCCGGTGTACATGACCGCTTCATTGTTTGGTCGCAATCTTCTCAGTTTTCTGTCGGGGTTCTGGCACGTACGGGATCCCACCGGTGGCACGTCGTTGTGTAGCCCACAAGTCGTAGCCGGAGGCAAACAAAGGGCCCCGAAACGGCGAAAACTATACCGCAAACGCGCAGGCGTGCAGCTAGGCCTAACGCTCGTTGTCTTGTAAGCGCCACTATACCCAGCAACTCTGTTTCTATGCCAGACTTGCAACCATACAAAGGTGAGCCTTTTGTGGAACGTTGAGAAGGTAGAGCACGATCTTGAGACTAGGTTTGTCGATGGCGCCACGTCTGATGTAGGACCTATGGCTTCGATAATGTCTGAAACAAGCAGCGTCGTCGTCACGGGCGTTGTTGGCGGGAGATGCTAATTTTGGGGCCGGCGGCCATCTTGAACACATTCTTGTTAGAACGGTCGGTGCTTGTCCACAACACGCGAGCACTGCCTACGAGCTAGGCTACGTCGTATTTTTGTCTGAGCGGCGTGGTGATACCTGTGCGGCAAACACTCATGAATATATAGCCTTTGGGCTTCGTATAGGCTTGTATCAAATGTTTTGTACTTTCAATGACAGTTGATTATAGCACCGTTCCTTTTAAATGTTTCAAATGAGACTGTACATCGGCAAACGCTATTTAAAACATTGTTCTTGTGCACGCTCGCAGCGTGTAAATATGCATCGGTGAACTAGAGAAAGGGCTTGTGTATATTTGTTTTCGACTTTGCACAATCACCTTTGTGTTGCTGTAATCGTGATGATTACACAAACTGGTATAATTTTTAACACGTGTATCTTCAATAAAGTTCGAATCACACTTTTAAACTTAATTGGCGCAATGCATATGATGATCGTGTGGTGTGCTTTGTTTGCCAAACTATAAAAGAAGGAAAACGAAAAAAAGTTACATAAAAACCAAAGAGTGATACTTCGGTGCTAATTTCTATAACTGTAGGGTACGAACAACAGATGGAGTAATGATAATTTGTAATTATCGTTCTCACGCATCCTTGGTGGTCAAGCACTAGCTTGCGTAATTACCGCCAGGGATGAACGCGATCGTCGCTGGTGATTGATGCCAAAATAATAAAGTGGAAAGAAATGAATCGTTGCGCACATTACACAACAAAAGCCTGGAAATCCCAAAATATTGTTTCGTGTTTATTTTTTTCATTTGCCTCTGTTTTTTTTTTCCTCCGCGGAGGGAGAAGTTGACTGTTTGTGCCGACATATCCTTGTAAATAAATTCACTACATAAACACACACTAAAGGGTGGTTTATAGCGTTATGTGGAGGGGTCTTTCTTTCTTTCTTTCTTTCCTTCTTTCTTTCTTCAGCTATTTATTTATTTGTTTGTTTCTTTATTTCGAGTCTTTTTCCGCTGCACTACTTTAATCAATGGTAAAATAAGTGATAGGATTCTGCAACATATATTTAGTGTTGATTTTTTCTATACTCAATAGCATCGCTTATTTATTGTTCGGAAAATGAAACACCGTAAAAGTGTTTCATATCGGTAGCGAGCGTTACATAACATTGTGTCTATACAATATTTGACGTTTCAAGGGAGTATCTTGAAATGTGGTTGAAATTGTTATCTATCTTTTACTTAATCAATTATTTAGCTGGTATAGTTAGCGGCACTGCAACGCTTCATTGACCGCCAGCTCATATCCGAACAATCACTGTTTTATACTGTCTTTACAGAAAACATAAAAAACAGGCTTGGCTCCTCGTTTATTATGGGCCCTCAGCAAATTTCAGGTAAGCGAAAAATCAATTTTAGTTTTCTGATTTTCTTTTTTTAACTTCAAAGAGGTTGATAAAAGGTGAAATACATATACACGTTGGCCAGAATATGCGAATCGCCGTGTCCTTTACCGACAATTCAGTCAAGTTTTGCGCACTGTTTTGTTGGCGAAAGCAGAACGGTTAACACAAACACGACGTCGCTATTGTATATGGCAGCCAAAACAGTGTGGAAACATTATATAGCGGTCAAAACATTTATTTTGACACTGTTAGAGCGTATTGAACTGCACATAGCACGTAGATTGAAGTTTTACTTAAGAAAATAGTTTGCAATTATGTACTACTTTGGCCTCTTACCCCCTCCCTCCTCCTCCTCCTCCTCCCGTGTCTTTTCAGCACCGCAAAGGTAAGGCGTACAAACACGGACGCATAAGAAGCGATACTATCTCAACTGAAAGGGCGCACCGAGGCGAAAAACGATGTCGACGCCGGAACTTAGTTGCGCATGTCACGTGGGAATGTCAGTCCATTACAGACCACCGATACAGAATCCCGCTGCGGAGCGACAGAAGAGTTGCAAGAACCTGGAAGATCAGCTGAGTCCGATTGACTGGTCCCCCAGAGTGGTGGCTGCATGATGCAGAGCCCTATTGTGAGACCCCTCCCGCGAGCCAGAAATCTCCGACGACCCTGAGCTTCCACGCAGAATTCGTCCAGCAGATACGTTTCACCGCCCATGCGCAGATGTGGTGTAGCTGTACCCGTAAATCCGGCCAACGCTTTCTCTATTTTATCAATGTCAGCCAGACGCGCCCGATGCATGTATATATGTAAACTGGTCTATAGCGTGAATTCCATAGAAGCACATGTATCCAGTAGTTGGCGGCTCGTTGCCACTGTTGTCACGTATGGAGGGAGGGGGGGGGGGGGGACAACTAACTGCTAACAAGAAATAAATAAATCATGACGTCACAACCGGAAGTGGTAGTGACATCGTGTATTTGCCGTATACACGGCGCTAAACTGGATTTTTTTTTCAGTTGCTGACCTTTTACGTGCCGTTATAAATACGTCATTTTATTACGCCTTATGACCCGCTCATTGCGTGCGCGCGAGAAAAGAAAGACCAACAAGAAAAATTGAGAAAGCAAAGTTGTGCTATATTTGTCAAACGGTGCACTTGCAATACACACCGAAACATCGCCGATGAAACTGTGAAACGGCTGTTCCCGATAGCCTAATAGTTCGAAAACTCACGTTACCCGATCGTGGAAAAACCACTAGAGCGAGACAGCAGCTATGGGAATATCGCTTTGGCAACCGTAGAGCCGCGGTGTTGCCTATAGCGTGTCACATTCACCGTTACCAAAGACGAGGGCATGCCGGCCTTGCACCAGCGAAGGCCGGCAGCTCTTAAATGTCACACCCTGTATACAGCACATAAACAAATAAATAAACTGCTGAAGGTACACACACATTACCACCACGCGCGTCGCTGTTCGTGGTGCTATGCGGGCAACCAGTGGGGAAGCGTCACTACCATAAGAAGCGGGAGGACTTAAAAGGGAACCCTATATGCATTGACATGATAGAGAGGGGTGCTGCGACTAGCGGAATGGGGGAGGGGGCTCAAAGTCGTTTTCATACATTTACATAATAGTGAGGGGGACGACGACGAAGGGGTGCTGTGAAGACGCACTGGTTCCCCCGACCATGCGCACACTGCAATAACGGCACCACGCTTATTTCTTCCTCTTCCCTTTCAAAGTCACTCTGAAACGCTGTTGCATGCGCTGTAATCAGACGGCGGCATTGCTTCGAGCCACAAAGAAGGAGCACGAAAAATCAAATGTGACAAATGTATGATATTGGCGTGGGAAAGACGTCTATCGCATCTATAAAGCGCTCGGAAGCATGGTGTGATGCAAGCAGCGCTATACCCATCATGTAGCGTCGCATTACGACCACTCCCTGAACGTGCCGTTAGCTAAGGCGGACCGAAGCCAACAAGCAAAAGCACGTCGTAAATAATCCGATAAAGTTTTCAATCAATCAATCAATCAATCAATCAATCAATCGCGTTGATAAGCACGCGTTAGCACTGGCGTTGAAAGAAATAAAGGACGCGCTGCTCCGGCACATGGGCGTGGTGGTTTACGCGACAGGTAACTCTTGAGGCATTTAATTTTTCCTTTATGTAAGTTAATCGAAGTCTGACTCGCTCATGCGCTTCCACTATATATAGTCTGTCAGGCCTCAGCCGTTCGACGTACGCCTTTCTTCATTGTTGCACCTGTACAACGCATTCATCTAATTTTCGCTTACTCATACACTCTCGATGACGTGAAGAATTGGATGGTGTAGCTTCCGCTTAATGACTGCTTATGTATCATTAGCCTATGATTAACGAAGCGGCCCATCTATACGGGTGTGTCCAATCGCTTGTTCTTGTGCGTATATATTCAACTTTTCATCGCTGTTCTGCGGAACCTACGCCGCTGCGATGCTGTAGCCGTTATGGTGCTTCACAGCTGACTAGAGCAGCGGTCGTTACAGTGACGTAGCGAAGCCCCTCTCCTCCAATTCAAAATAATTTCTGCCTACGCCCCTAGACCCGGAGATTGCGGGATTGAACCCCGTATTCTAGAACCTCCCTTCACTCAACGCTTCACCTTCGCTTGAGAAAGCCGATGGGAGCGCCATCTCTAGGTACGGCAAGTCACTGCACATCAGCGATAGTCTGCTGCGATTCTTGAGCAGCGCAGCGTCATTTTCAGCCGAGAGGTGGCGCAGTGCTCAACTCTGTCAAGTGAAGGGTGAAAGTCGAGTCGAGGAGCGTTTGTGAATACGGGGGTGAGTCTCGGCCGCTACGACCGCGCTTCTATCAAGCCGGAATGCTTGACGCCTGTGTGCTTCCATTTAAATGTGCGTGAAGGAAACCCTTGTGATTGAAATTTCCGGAGCCCGCCGCTACGGCGTCTCTAACAAAAATATCGTGGTTTTGAGGCGTTAAACCCGCACAGCTTAATCATTATTAATTTCCAGGACCAGAAAGGTGTCTTCTGCTGAGCGACCACGTCTCCAGAAGGGACAGGTCTCCGACGGCAGCGCAACCAACGTACACGTCCTCTCGGCACGGGGAACGGCCCTTGGAATACCACTCTTCGTCGTCGTCGCTATGTGAGCAGCTGGCTGCGAGGTCCCGTGGTGGATCAGCGAAGGAATTCGCTCGTCTCACGCCGAGCAACCTGGCTCGCTACCAGATGTATTTGTCCAGGACAGAAGAAAGTGCCTCGTCCATCGAGGAGGTGGTGCGAACGCGGTCAGGTCGGACGCTTCGCATGAGGCCCACTAGGTGAGCTTTATATGCGCATATATTATAGCCGTTATCTTTGTGTGGAAACTATACAGGAAAACTGAGTGGCAGGAAAAAAAAGACTGCAAACGCGGCTGGTGGCAACTGACCCAGTAAGTGTTGTCTGTCGTCATTGCCATTGTTCTTATTTTATGTTCGCTGTTGTCAGCGAAGTTGCCAACGAGCTCAAAGCACTCTTCTGTGGAGCTAAAGCGTTGCCTTGATTCAGGTCAGCTATATATGCATTGCCTTGCCTGACGTGTTTTTTTGTGTGTGTGTGTGAAATGACCTCAGTGCTGAAAATATGAACAGTGTCCTTATAGATCTGACTCAATAGACTTGCGTACGTGTATTGAAAAAAATTAACAAAGAAAGGTCAGATCGGTTAATTGTCACGCTAAAGCCAAGTTACCGATAATGGAACTTGTCCTCATGCAGGCCCGAAGTGTTCACATGATCAAATTGCCTTGACGAAGACAAATCTTTTTATTCGATACGTTGGCTGCAGTCTGGCATGCCTTGGTTGATTGTACTATTGACTAGTGTAAGATAGCTTCAATAAGTAACGAATACCTTTTTTTTCTGAAAACTAAGAAATAAATTCCTTTACTTTCACATAATATGCCATATTTACAATGACGCATGACGTTGAAAATCAGGGCGTGGCCTTAAGCTGTGCCTATTTGGCTCAGCGTCTGACACAGAAAGAACGCTAAATCTATTCATTCTTGGTTTAGAAGTTCCATACTTTACAGCTATATGGTCTAGTGGCTAAGGTACTCGGCTGCTGACCCGCAGGTCGCGGGTTCGATTCCCGGCTGCGGCGGCTGCATTTCCGATGGAGGCGGAAATGTTGTAGGCCCGTGTGCTCAGATTTGGGTGCACGTCAAAGAACCCCAGGTGGTCAAAATTTCCGGAGTCCTACACTACGGCGTCTCTCATAATCAAATGGTGGTTTTGGGACGTTAAACCCCACAAATCAATCAATCAAATACTTTACAGCTATAGGATATCGCTGACAGCAAATTTTTTTTGAACAAGGAGCGAGATAACGTGCAAAACGGATAACACTTCATGCTTGCTGTGTGCAGCACGGTTTTAACAGATGACGTCTCATTATGACAGCTTTTGAGCGACGTCACAGAACACGAACACGCGTCTTGTGGCATGCATTTGTAAGTTACGCCGTAACTTATTTGAAAGTTACATACTGTTACACAGTCTGCCGTCTTTGTGTAGCATCGACTGTACGTTTCCGCCCATTGCTTCTCTCTCTCTGTCTCTTTCTTGTCCATGTGTGTGTGTATTTCATGTGGAGAGGCACACTTTCAAAGCTATGTGTAGCAAAAAAAAAACTTATAAGTATACCGGCACACGCGAGTCGATGGCACGTGCGCGACGAGACCCTGGTTCGCTCGGCGGGAGGCGTGAAACCCGATTCTTACACGCGCGCTGCTGCGAGGCGACGGCGGCGGCTGGAACTAGCGCTCGAGTCCGCACTCTGCCGGCGCGTTACGTTCGCCCGCGGTGCGACCGTGTATACGCAAGCGCTCGCAATCTGGTGCCCCTTAATTGATGCCTGCTTTGTGACACTGTCTTTTACGTTTGTCTGTCATATACACACAACATGGCGTATACCCGCTGAAGCTATGCTTTCCGAAATGACGTTCTGGCAACGCCCCTGCGAAGCATTGCTCTTTCGGTGATTCATGCATGCACGCAGGTACAAATAACATAAGTACCCCAGCCAAGTTAGAGTCCAAGCATAAAAGGTAAGGACTGTGCTCTGATCCGACGTTTCGGGACCAATTCCATCCCTTCTTCAGGGGTGACTGCTCGGTCGGATCTGAAGCTCGCGATTTTTCTTGGCGGTGCACGTCGCCCTCTTCATCGTCCCTCTTTCCACCAATGTTGTTGCTGCGGTGTGGAAAGAAGGACGATGAAGAGGGCGACAACGTCAAGAAAAATCGCGAACTTCAGAGCCGACCGAGCAGTCACCCCTGAAGAAGGGATCGAATTGGACCCGAAACGTCGGGGCAGTGCACAGTCCTTACCTTTTATGCTTGGACTATAACTTGGCTGGGGAATTCATGTTATTAGTATTAAAGTTCACCCAGCCAGACAGATATCTGTCGAAGATGTTCACCTTATGTACCCAGGTACATGCATGAGTCACATGGTCGGTATATGAATATCTCCATTGCAGTGCCCGGCGGGCTGTATAACACCGCCTCCTCACACATGACCTTAGTGAATTGCTCTGAACATATTCGTGTCTATCTGTCCCAACCAGAGAGACTTGCTGTCCTCAATAGGGCCTCCTCAAGGACGGTTTCTTATAACGTATACCTACGCGCGCGTGCACTCGAGTTACTGCCAGCAGCATATGGCAAACATACTTAATTAAGATAAAGTGGAAATGTCTTAGTAAACGAAGAAAAGCTATCGCTTCTCAGTTCAGAATATATGTTTCCCCGACGGCTGTATGTGAATATGTATTAAATAATGTATTAGTCTTATTTTATTTTATATAGTGTGCGGCATCAGTGCATAATCTCCATCGATTTAAGCATGCGAGAGGGTTTTTACTTCGAATGAAATCCTTAAGTTTTCAAAGTTTCGACGCGCTTTGCCTGGCGTTCTTTTCTGTAAACTAACGTAATAATTACGGTGTACAGTAAAAGTATTAACCAACTATATCCCGTCACGATGTTCTTTTCTTACGTGTGCGCAATGACGAGAGACTATATAGCGATCAATTCACGCGCAGGTGCCGCCTCCAGGAGCGCCCTCGCAAGAAGCGTCATGTGCTGCAGAGCATGGCCCGGCCCCTGAAGAAGTGGCTTATCCGGCACCGGGACAAGCCGTACCCAAGCAAGGCCGAAAAGCTAGCGCTGGCGCTCGGCTCGCACATGACGCTCGAACAGGTCTCCAACTGGTTCGCCAACGCGCGGCGAAGGCTCAAGAACACGGTGAGTGTGTACACAATTGCCACTGACGTCATCGTGGCCGTCATGTTAGGATGATAGTTGATTTAGAAGTCGGGTGAACGGGAACCCTGGCGGAACGAAATCGTCGGAGAAGAGATTTTCTTTCGTTCTTGGTGAGAATTTGGTTGTCGCGAAAATAGAAAAACTCACAGCTTTGCCGCAAAGGCGAAGCAATGAACGCTATAGCAACAAATTGAAAGTTAACGTGCAGAATGGAAAGCAGATCGAAACGTGCCCCCCGCTTATCATGCGCAAATGATGCACGAAACGTACTCACAGGTACAGATGTACGTGAGTAAGCGTCCTTGAGTCTGGCGCCTTAGACCACTCGGCCATTCTGACACGCGAGTAAGCGTCTCCGTTATCACTTCGCTGTGTCTAAAAAACGCGCGCTATTTACAAACAGAGACTGCAATGATTGCAGTGACCTTTGTGCGCCCGGTTACTACAACAGACTCGTTCCAGGTTAAGCCCGAGGCCAGCCAAGACGTACAATTCTCCCCACCACGAGATAAGGACGCGCGAGAGAGTGTAGCCCTCCCCCCCCCCCCCTTACTCTAAGCGGGGCAAAGTACGGGTGGAGGAAGAGCGCGCGCCTTGCCGCGTGATGTGCCCCGCCATCTTGCTGGTAATGCTAAAAACACGATAATTCCCCCTGAGTTGCCCGTCAGCAGCGGTAAGTGGCAGAAATAAATGGCTTGCCATTCGACCGTTGAAGGACGTGCTCCTCGATAGCTTTTTTATGTTCTTTCTTTCAAACAACCCAATTACACCACATTCCTGACTTCTCTGTATTTTCAGACAAGGGAGAACGACACACCTTGTCACCGTTCTTGCGCGAAGTTTTACTTTATTTTATTTATTTCGGTATTCTTTACAAAAATGCCCACGATCAAAGGAGGCAAAAGGAGAGAGCGTCTCCTGACTTGGCCCACTCTTCGTGAGGCACCTCGGGCAAGTACAGCCAAACAGTACATAGAAAATTCTAGATTATGCATACAAATTATGATTCAAAATTCAAGAATATTTTTTTTATTTTTTTATTTCCAGGTACTGTTGGCCGATTGGGCCGTTACAGGGGTGGGGTAGAAAACTGACAAAACAACCGTCATGTCATGCGTAAAAAAGAAATGCATAGCCGATACAAAAGGAATACATCACTATACTACGTTCTACGACTTACATGCTACATCACATACATCACAAAATACACTTCCCAATATTACATCCTACAACGTACATGAGACAAGTTACAGCAAATAGATTCATAGTCAAAAGATGACAAGCACACACACCAAAAACAGCAATCACCGTTTACGAAGATTCACTTAGAAAATATTTCGGAACATTGTTTTCAAAATGTTCTGCAGTTTGAGAATCACGTATAGCATCGGGTAATACATTCCAGTCTTTTATTGTTCTAGGGAAAAAAGAGTATGCATATGTGTTCACACGACGTTGAGGAACTAGATATTAGATGCGGAAGCATCTTATACTCGCGCCTTGTAGTGCGCCGTCCGCGCCGTCCGCGCCGTCCGCACCGCTTCTCGAACATTCGACAGCTGACGCGCGCGCATGCGCCGTCGCGCCGTCGCCCACTCTTCCACCATCTGTGCATCCCTTCCTCCTCTACACACCGCGCGCGCTTCACTCCTCCACCATCTGTGCACCCTTCCTCCTCTACACACCGCGTTCGACATCTACAATTCTCCTGATTCTCCAGTGGACGCGCATGTGGCGTCGCGCTTCGAGAACATTCAACAGCTGACAGTGCATGCGCCGTCGCGCTGCATATATACTCAAGGTCGGCGCTCGCTCGCTCAGTTGCCGCTCGTCGGTTGGTTTGTACGGCGCGTCGACGTCCAAGGTCGCGGTGAAATGAATTCCAACGAATCCACAAACACAATGATCGACGTCCCTTCGACCAGCGCCGCCCTTTCGCATACGTGTGTACGTGTTCACTCATTTAACACCCCCTCCTACAACCACGTTAACCAATTTAGCCATCGACCCAAGTAAGTCGCAATTTAACACCCCATTTCACAACCACGTTAACCAATTTAGCCATCGACCCAAGTAAGTCGCACTTTAACACCCCGTTAACCAATTATATGCTCCGCATCCTCCTCAGTGTTCCCCCGAGGGAAGCTGCGGGCAATTTTTTTTTCTGAGGTGGTTACTTCGTAGGCTCCGCACTTGACGGGGAATTAGGTACTGCTCTGCATCAAAGTTAAATGTATTTTGGGAAAGCAGGAACAAGAATTTAAGTCTGGCTATGCAACGGCGGTCCACGAGGGGCTGTAAATTTAATTCTTGCAGCATCTGTGTTACAGAATCTTTACGAGAATATTTTGAAATAATAAATCTAGCCGCCCTTATTTGTACCCGCTCGATGTTTTTAATTAATCCTTTTTGATAAGGGTCCCATATGATGCTTGCGTATTCCAGTGTAGGCCTTACTATTGTTAAGTACGCTGTTAACTTTACGGGGGCTGGAGCCAGTTTTAATTTGCGACGTAAGAACCTTAACTTCTTTTCAGCAGTAGAGCAAATATTACTGATATGTTGGGTCCAGTTCAGGTCTTCAGATATTGTTACTCCTAAGTATTTACATCTGTTAACGGTAGCTAACGCAGTGGAACTTAGTTGATACTCGAAATTTTTGACGTGCTTTACTTTGTTTGTAACTCGCAAAACAACCGTTTTTTTCTTTATTTATTTGCATTTTCCATGTTTCGCACCATTTCTTGATAGATGCCAAGGCATCGCTGAGTATTTTTTGATCACTATGGTTACATATTTCTCGATAAAGTAAACAATCATCGGCGAACAGTCTAACAGTAATATTTTGATTAATGTCAGAACAAATATCGTTAATATAAACGAGAAATAACACCGGTCCGAGTACATACGCTTTCTATGTAATTATTGTCTCGTTTTTAGAAGCCAACAATATTCTAACGCCTTGTCAGCACGGGTTCAGAAGACGCTTATCTACACTTACCCAGTTAGTAACCACTATTCATGAACTTGCGTCTTCACTCGATAAGGCTGAACAAATCGACGTCATTTTTTTAGATTTCAGCAAAGCATTCGACCGCGTTCCTCACAGTAAACTAATCCTAAAGCTTCAAAAAATTGGCTTACCAATAACACTCATAAAATAGATCCAGTGCTATCTGTCTAACCGCAAGCAGTTTGTTAAAATCAGTAGCTGTTTTTCCGATACTCTCCCTGTAACTTCCGGTGTTCCTCAGGGCAGCGTGCTGGGACCCGTACTCTTTTTAATTTATATCAATGATATTTCTGACGTTATCGACGCATCATCGATTGGTTTAAAGTTGTTTGCGGACGACTGTGTACTCTTTAAACGAATTTCATCCTCAAGTGACCAAAGTAACCTGCAATGTAACCTTGATGCTGTCTCTGAATGGTGTGAAAAATGGTCCATGGAACTGAACTGTGACAAATCTGTATTGCTCCAGGTAACTAACAAAAAAAAATGCATTCACGTCCTCCTACAGGCTCAATAACCACACGCTGCAACAAGTAGACGAATATAAATATCTAGGAGTTACTATAACAAGCCGACTAACTTGGTCCAGTCACATTAACAAAATTTGCGCATCGGCCTCCAGAAAACTCGGGTTCCTCAGGCACAAACTAAAAGCCGCTCCTCCACGTGTTAAATTGCTAGCTTATAATTCCGTTGTTAGGCCGCAACTCGAGTACGCAAGCGCAGCATGGGACCCATTCCTTAAAAAAGACATTCACAAATTAGAAATGGTGCAAAGAAAGGCAGTCCGGTTCATCTTTAACAGCTATCATAGCCGAGCTTCTCCATCGCTTCTCATGGAAAACAACAATATAATGACCCTGGAACACAGGAGGCAGGTTGCGCGTCTAAGATTTCTGTTTTTGCTTAATTCCCAACAATTCAATATTATTCCGCCGCGGTGGTCTAGTGGCTAAGGTACTCGGCTGCTGACCCGCAGGTCGCGGGTTCATATCCCGGCTGCGGCGGCTGCATTTCCGATGGAGGCGGAAATGTTGTAGGCCCGTGTGCTCAGATTTGGGTGCACGTTAAAGAACCCCAGGTGGTCAAAATTTCCGGAGCCCTCCACTACGGCGTCTCTCATAATCATATGGTGGTTTTGGGACGTTAAACCCCACATATCAATCAAATCATCAACAATTCAATATTAATCCAGGACTTTATATTCAGCCCCGCTTATCTCGTCCAACTCGAAGCACCCATGAGCACAATCTAACTCCAATTTTTGCACGCACTAATCTTTTTAAGCACTCCTTCTTTCCCCGCACAATCGAGCAGTGGAATAGATTGCCTGTTGATGTGTTTTCGGCGCGTGATGTGTCGGATTTTGAAATGCGTGTACTTTCTGCAATATTTTAAACATTCACTGTGTCGCTATGTTTCTTTGTGTACTGCTATTTTTTTTCACACTTGTTGGACTGTTTTCAGAATTGTGTACCAATTTACCATGCGGATTGATGCTTTCTATGTAATTAATCCCTGCCCACCTGCTTGGTCTTCGGACTGCAGTATGTCTTAAATAAAATAAATAAAAATAAATAAATAATACACATACAAGTTGTGTTCTCATATCGTTTCATAAGGGCAAGGTTTTCGATAGATTACCTAACTAAAATGAAAAGAAAACGCCTTATGAAAGACTTATCACAGAATGTTTTTCCTGTGCGTCTTTACCGTTAAAAGTATGAAAAATCACATGGACAAGACGTACTAAAGCGAGTGAAAAACATGTGGACACCACCCAATGAACATTCTTTTTCAAGCTTCATACGGGAACTTTGCCAGTGAAAACGTGGCTTGAAAAGAGACGTGTGTGTGTACTATGGGAAGCAGCTGTCTCCTGTGTAACAAACCTGAGACCATTGAACACGCATTCATTGATTGTAAGAATTCCATTTTCGTTTGGGACATTTTACAGAGGATTTTA